GGGGCCTGTACTGATAGAGCTGCGGTCAGGATGAATGCGACCCAACCGAGGCCTTCTGAGCTATCTTGGGGTCTACCTCCTCACTTTCTGCATCAGAGGGACCCTGAGGCGACCAGGCTTGTTTCGACCCACTATGCCAAGTGGATGTCGACCTTCGAGGCAACGGTGTTGAATCATCATGCGGTTCCTGTAGCGAAGCAAGCCGCCTACTCTGGTAGAGCAAATGGGGTTCACTTCCAATGGAAGAAGACTGCGGCTTGCCCTGGACGTACTCATATAAAGCACGAGCCTGCAGAATGGTGGGCTATTACCTTGACGTTGGTTAAGAAGATTATCGAGCTGTGCAAGCATCAGAAGCATGAGAACCTCGTAAGGTCCAGCCTCACCCTATTGCAGCTGAGGGTCACGGACTTCCACGGGAAGAGAGGCTTACTGCTGCCGAAGGTCGAGGAGGATGAGGTAGTCAGATGGTCTGAGCTGGTACGCACCATCACGATCCTGGACGACGAGGAACGATCTGAACTCATATGCCGCACTGAGGCTTGGTCAGGCCGCGCTGCCGCTCATGCCGCGTACCAGCCCAAGAAGAAGCACTCGGGTTGGCTCGCCGACATGCGGAAGGCGAAGCCTGGAGTCCTACATCGACAGGTCAAGCCGCAGGAGCAACAGCGGCTCGAGATCTACATCAGCGGCACGACGGTCTCCAACCCGAACCTGATCATGGATGCTAAGCGGCAGGAGTGGGAGAAGGTTTGGACACCTCGCGAGACCAAGCAGCAGATTCTGGATGCTCTGGATAAGGCTCGTCGTCAGACTAGGGAGGAGCCCCCTGATGCCATCCAACTGGAGCAGCTGAAGCGCACCCTGTCTATCATGCCAGGCTCCAAGGCGAAGGGTGTGGACATGATTGGGCCACGGGATATGCTGCGCCTACCTGATGTGGCCCTCCAGCAGTACACCGACATGCCCAACGTCATCGAGACTCAAGGTGTCTGGCCACCTCAGGTCATGGCCACTCTGGTGGCCATGGCGCCGAAGAAAGCAGGAGGTGATAGAGTACTAGGTGTTCTCCCTCACATCGCCCGCACCTGGAGTCGTATCAGAGGAGCCGCTTCAGATATGTGGAGTGATGGATTGCATGACTTCTGGTGTACTGCGATGAAAGGCTCTTCGGCCCTCTCTGCAGCACTGCATCGAGCTTTTCTAGACGAGCCGGCTGTCACCATGGGGCCTGACAGTCGGCACCCTGCTAATGGACCTGGCGAAGATCTATGACCATGTGAAGTTGGCTAGGCTCATCGAGGTTGGATTGGATGAGGAGTTTCCTGCCATATGCCTCCTGTTGGAGGTTCAGCTTTTTCTTGGCCCCAGGATTCTGCGAGCACAGGGCTGGACCGCTGAGCCCATCTACGCTCTCCAAGGAATTGTTGCAGGCTCCCCTCGTGGTGTCACACTGGCGAGGCTGTTATTGCTCCCCATCCTCACGCACGCCCAGAGACGGGCGGAGGGAGCTACGATGTGGACCTTTGTGGATGACACGGTGGCAAGATCGGAAGGCACGGCAGCGTCAGTGTTACAGCGATTGACCAGGGCGGGAGCAGAATTGAAGGTTGCTCTGGATCATGCTGAGCTCCCTGTCTCCGACAAGACCGTCGTCCTCTCTAACAACAAGCAAGTGCGCGTGAAGCTGGAGCGCAATCTTCGACGCCGCGGAGTGCCTGTCTCGGCTACGACGACGGCCACCGATCTGGGCATCGACATGGCAGCTGGTACGCGTAGAGTTCAGAAGAAAGCTGGTGAACGGGCTCGAGCGGCTACTGCCAGGGCCAAGCGCATAGTCAAGATGCGCAACACAGCTCAGCAGGCACGGATAGCCAAGGGCCTCTGGGCCACAGGCGCCTTGCCTCAGGGAGTCTATGGCCATCAAGTCCGAGGGCTGGCTCGGCATGCGCTGTCGAGATGGAGGAGGCAGGCAGCAGCAGCCGCCACTGGTCAAGCTGCGGGCCGCTGCTTAACCACGCTACTTGGCTCCACGTTTGACGGAGCGGATCCTGGAGTCCAGCTTCGGGTGCAGTCCTTGCGACAATGGATCAGATTTTGGCAAGACCAGCCTCTCCTCCATCAGCGCATTCGACGCACGCGGGCCCTGTTGAAGACGAGATTGACCATTGCAGGCCCGAAGATCTGGTCGCATGTCACGGGCCCGACTGGGGCCGCTATTGCTACACTCTTGGAAGCTGGCTGGGATCCCAAAGCGGCTGGCTGCTGGCAACGGGTTCGCGACGAATACTTGGAGCAATGGACACTCCCAGATGACGGAGCAGAGTTGGTCTACCTCGACTACGAGTCCGTCCTAGACGATCTCGCGGAGGACCTCCAGGGCAGGCTCTGGGCGACGGCGGCGGCGCACGAGCACGGCGCCTCCCTCGCCTGCGGGGCCGACCTGACCATGATCAGGAGTGAACAGCGGAGGTTCCTCGCTTCGGGAAAAATATCGTCTTGGGCTTTGAACAATTGCGTGGTCTCTGGGGGCCAGTGGACCCGTGAGCGCCTCCACCAGGCTGGGTATCAAGTCAATCGGTTGTGTGATCGTTGCAGCTCTGGAGCCATCGAGGACCTTCCGCATCGCATTTGGAAATGCTCGGCGAATGAGGGCCCCGAGGTCACAGCTAGTGAACACTTGGTCCCCCAGGCCCTGGCGGGCTTGGAGCAGGACCCCGCCCTTTGGCTTAGAGGTGTGCCCAGTCTCTCCTCCACTACTCCCTCCTTTGCCTCGTGGGACGGGGGTGGGGTGGAGGTGGTGGGCCCTGATTATGAAGGTAAGCCCCGCTGGGAAGCCTGCAGAGACCCCCATGGGCGCCTCACGCTTTTCGGGGACGGCTCTGGAGGAGCCTTTTCAGATGATCCTCGGAGGCGCCGATGTGGATGGTCGGTCGCGGCTCTCGTCCCAGACGGGGCTGGTCGTTGGCGAGGCCACACTGGCATCTTCGGCCCGCTTGAAGGCCGACGGCAAACCGTTCCGCGAGCTGAATTATTGGCGTTTTGCGTTGCGGTTGAAGAGAGCCCGGAGCCTCTGACGTCTGTGACCGACCACAAACCCCTCCTGAATGGGTGGGGCCAGGGTTGGACTCGGAGGCCCCTTGGAGCTTGGTCTCGGCGTCTCAAGAACTGGGATCTTTGGGCCAGGCTGCGCAGGGCGTTGGAGCAACATCCTGGGCGCGATGTGGCCTTGGTGTGGACCCCGTCCCATCAGGATGAGACGCCAGAGGCTATCACCAACCCGTTTTATGCATGTGGCAACATTGTCGCAGATGCATGGGCAGGCCAAGGAGCTGCCAAGAATTGGACGGCAGCGCGAGAGCCTCTCCCCTGCACTGATCAGTGGGATGCAACGGCGGCCTTGGTGCGTGCCAGGGCTAGGGCCATCATCAAGAGTATTGGCCCTGAGAAGGTCTTGCGTGGGGTGAGAGTTAACGTCACTCGTCAGGCCCCACTGTCCACTCGTGCCCTCTGCCTGAGAGCCTCCACTCACACGTTCGAGCGTTGTGCTGCTAAGTGGCGCTGTGCCAAGTGCGAGCTTCTCGTTGATGACTGCCGTCTCGACGAGTCGGCACTCACGCAGTGTCCTGGACCGCCCCCCTCTCAGGGGTCGCTGCCCGTGGAGGCCCCACGTCGGTTCGGGGAGGCCGTGGTGGTGGAGGCGCGGGGGAGGACTCTCAAAGGCCAAGAGGCCCATCCGTCACATCAGCTTTTCGAGATCCCGCGGTGGCGGGTCTTGTTTTGCTCGCATTGCGGTGCAAATGCTACGTTTCGCTTTGTCAATATGTTGCAGGAGTGTGGCGAGCCGAGTCCCAAGGGGAAGGAGGTCCTTGCTCGGATCGCCAAGGGCCTGCATCCTTCCCACAAGGGCCCCTCTGGGGCCATCGCTGAGGCGGCGCACAGAGACGCCGCCCAAGAGGCTCGAGCTCGTGCACTTGTAAGAGGCAGTGGTTTGTCCCAGGCCCCTGGACCCCCACCTGAGGGAGATGGAGGGGCCTCGGGGGATGTGTTTGTGGCGGACGCCACGGAGGAGGCTGTGGCCCAGGCGGAGAGAGGGGAGGAGTCAGGCGGCGGTTCCGAGGCTAGGGAGGCTGCGCGCGAGGGAGCGCGGTGCGCCTCTGCGGCCTCATCTTCCAGGCCCGCGCCGCCGCCCTCCCCCTCCTCCTCCTCCTCCGATTAGGCGTGCCCCCCCTCCGCCCCCCCCCCCTTCCTCCGCGGCACGCCTTGCGACTCCTTCGGGGGGCGAGCGCTCTGCATTTAGCACCATTATTTAAAGTCCTCCTCACGCCTGCCCTCACCTCCCTCCTCCATCCTCCGCCTCACCGCCTCATCTCCTCTCCTCATCCTCCTCATAACCATCCCTCTACCACCTCCTCACCACCCCACCCCCACTCCCCCCCATCTACCACTTTCCCCCCCTCCGCCTCACTCCTCCCATCCCCCTCTTCCCATCCACCCCATCCCGCCAGACCTTCCTCATCATCCTACCATGACGACACTTGAAACTCATCCTGCCTCACTCATCCTCATCCTCAATCCTCCCTCCTTCATCCTCCCTTATCCTCCTCCTTTTACCTCCTTCCTCCTACCTCCTCCCTTCCTTCCCCATCTCCTCCCCCCTCCCTCCCCCTGTGTCCCTCCTCCCCCTCCCTGCCTCCTCCTCCTCCCGACTCCCTCCTCCCTCTCCTACTCCTCATCCTCCTCCTCCTCCTCCTCCCTCCTACTACTCCTCCTCCCCTTTCCCCCACCTCCTTCCTCTCCGTACCCTCCTCCTACCCCTCCTTCCTCCTCCTCTCCTCCTCCTACTCCTCCTCCCCTACCTCCTCCTCCCTCCCTCCTCCTCCCCTCCTCATCTCCTCCCCCTCCTCCTCCTCATCCCCTCCTCCTCCTCAATCCGGCCGGAGCCGCGGGGGGGGGGGGCGGGCGGGGAGCCGCGGCCCGCGCCGCCAGGCGGCCCTGGCTAGAACAGGAACAGCATCACGATGGCGAAGACCAGCACGACGTACGTGGCGGGGCTGTCCTCCTCGGAGGAGGAGGAAAAAAAGAGGAAGAAGAAGAAGAAGAAGAAGAAGAAGAAGAAGGAGAAGAAGAAGACACAATAGGATTTCGATGGTTTTTCGTCGGCTCTCGCAGGAGCCAGGATAGACGATGGATGGGGCAGAAGGAGGAGGAGGACGACGATCGTCGTGTATTGCCCCATCAGGGTAGGCATAGCCCTGTGAGTCGGGTGGGGCACACGGGCTTTGGCCGCCGACGACCGAGGGAAGGCACGACCGAACACTCGACGCGCAAGCGAACAGGGGGGGGGCTGCCCACGCTGGGGGGAGGTCGGGGTCGTCGGAACCACCGGGCTCCTCCCTCGCCCTCGCCGCACGCTTTGCCTCCCCGGCCTGGCCCAGGTGAGTTGGATCAGGAGACGCAGGGCCGAAACGCACTTACGCAGGACGAAAGAGTTTCCTCTTGAGGTGCAAATGGCGATGATGAGTTGGAAGTTAATGACTGAACCCCCTTCCCCTGTAGAATCTTAACACGGGCGGGTTCCGGGGTCCGCGGATCCGATTTCTTTCGGCTCCCCGTTAAAATTGAAGAAAATAAATTTGAGACTGGATAAAGATCGGATCCACCGTTTTTTTACAACAACAAAAAAAAAACAAAAAAACGAACACGGATCCAGCTAATCCGAAATCGGATCCGCCCGGACGGAAATCGGATCCACCGAAGCAAACGCCAAAGCCACAATTGGATCCACGCGAACTTCACGGGATCCGACTGCGGGGTTCACACGCGCGTCTGCTCAAGACTTCAAGCCGTCGTTCCGGGCCCAAGAGGAAAAGACTTCTGCGGATGTAGGCTCAACGATTGTTATGGCCGACGTCCTAGAAATGCTGTTTGGGCCCGGTGCCGCACGCAAGACTGTCAGGACGCGACAGTAACGTTGATTCGCGGCGTTGAAGTCCCAGGAGTGGTGGATTGGCACGGTTCAGGATTTTGAAACTGTTGATTCCGACGGCGCACTTCTCTCAGTGCAAAATGCATCTTCGTAGGAAGAGGGAACTTGGAGGGAGGGTTTACTGCAACATCGTTGATGAGTCTTGGGTTTGCACTCGTCCTCCTCCTCCTCCTCCTCCGCCTCCTCCTCATCCTCTCCTTCTGCTCCTCCCCCTTCTCCACCAGCACTGGGATGGTTGGGCACGATCATCGAGCCTCGAGCCTCGATGCCCCAGGAACGTGCCGCCGAGATCCTTGGCCGTGACGCCGTACTCACTGTTCAAGGGCTTCAGCAGGTCGCTGAGGCCAGTGCGGATGCCGTTGAAGTTCGGCTTGCGCCTGCGCAGAGGAATCGACCAGCGTCGAATCACAGCAAGGCTTTGTTGTTGCGGGTTTCGGCCTCTGGGGGCCCTCGCTGGGCCCTGGGACCGTCAAAAGCAACGCAGGATAAGAAGCTGGTCCAGGAAATGGGTCGAGACCTCCTCACACGCCTCCTCCTCCTCCTCCTCCTCCTCCTCCTCCTCCTCCTCCTCTTCCCCATCCTCCTCCTCCTCCTCCTCCTCCTCCTCCTCCTCCTCCTCCTCCTCCTCCTCCTCCTCCTCCTCCTCCTCCGCCTCCTCGGCCAGAGTAGCGCCCACGGGCGGCTGCCGCAGGCCTGGGCGCGTCGTAGGCCGTCATGTCCTCGAACTGGTTGTTCCTCAAGACCCTCGTGGCCTTAGCTAGGGATCGTTTTTATTTGTCTCGACGAGCGCGTTCCTCTACTCGCAAAGTAACTGCTCGCAAGTGGCCTGGATCCCCCGCGGGGGATCCACGATAGATTACAGCAAAGCAGACAGGTGTTTTTCGGACGTCTGCGAGCAGGCGCTTTGCTAGTAGTGGAACGCGCTCGGCGATTGTCGGCGGTGACCCGGGTTATCCAGGCCAGGGGGGGAGTTGCCAGGCTGGCCTATAACCTAACCGAGTTCGCTCTGTGAACATCGTTTAACCGACCCCCATCCCCAGCGGCGTGGCCTGGGCCCCACTGGCCGATTTAGCCCCCTAGCCGAGCAGTGTCGGCGAATCCCTCTGCCCACACCTGTGGCGGTACGTCGATTCGAGGGTGCATTGACTAAAGGGGCCCTGGGACACGCAAACAAATAGACACGAATCCCAGGGTTCCCCGTACTTTCCCACATGTTCTGGGTTTTCGTCTTCCCCCCCACTTCCCATATGTTTCCATATCTTCCTGGGAATCGACGATTCATTGTGTCTGTGAGTTTTTTCCCCTCCTGATTAACTTGCTCGACCGAGGGACGATTCACTGGCCAGGCGCGGCCAACATATTAACAGACATTCCAACGCGTGCGGGAGGCGAGCGTATGCTCTGGGGGGAGCTGGCAACACCACACATGAGCGTCGCCAACTCTGACTCATGATCAAAAACGACACACCGCTGCAGAGATCATTCCACAACAGTCCACTGGACGCGGAGCGTCTATGATATATTGTACAGCATGAGGTGGAAACTCACGGCGTAACCCGAAACAAAGCATGGTGTGGAGCCCTGCTGACACTATAGACTGTCATTTAAGGCGTAACCCGCCTTTTGAGGGCACTCGTTGAGGGTTCTTTGTCCGCGTTCGACTAGAAGTACAGACAGGACAGTGCAACAACGAGCCATCAAGTCAAAGAAGTGATTGTGGACTGGCACGTATGGCATACCCACTACAACTAAGGAAACCCCGAACAGGAGGGCCATGGACGCGAAGGGTACGAATATATTGAATCGAAGAGTGAAACCTGACAATGCAGACTGGCATTTAAGGCGTACCCACATCTCCAGGACACTCGCTGAGGCACAAACCTCCAGCCAGGGCCAAGACGCGCTCTGTCGGAGAAGTTCCTCCCCAGGGGTCTGGATCCGGATTTCGCGAGGGGTTAGAGCGTCCACTATGGCTACAAATCGTTAAAAGGTTTATTCAGCCAAGATGGTCTCCAATATTGCACAGTATACCCCAAGATGGCTCAAGCGGGCTTCAACCATGCTTCTAAGCGGCTCCAAGACGGCTTCAAGTGGCCGCGGAGCCTCTCAAGCTTGCCCCGAGAGGCCGAAATCCTTCAAGAAACAAGCCGTTCAATGATTGATGCCTCCAAGAGGCCTTCAAGATATCCACACAAGCATCCAAGAGGCCTCTGACCTGCAACCCAGGCACAGTGGCGGGATGGGCCGAAGGCCACTAGAACCGGCGCTTCGTGTTTATCACAGGAGTGCGAGGTGTACTAAACTGTGCACTGATTCCCCATTCAGTGCTTGCACTGAAGGAGTCCTCGCGGAGGTTGAAAGATTTGGCGAAAGCTTCCCGACGACTTTGGTCGCACGCTGGGCTCCCGGGTTCCCGGTTCCGGGCTCCCCAGTTCCCGGGGTTCCGGGTTCCGGGTGCCGATTTCGGAGGGCGGCGAGGTTCCAGGGTTCCCGGGCTCCTGGTCGAGCTTCTTATCGATCGGTCTCACCATCGATCTCATTACTCGGGTCGGGCGAAAGGGGTGATAGCAAAGGGGGGCTTGAGAATCAGCTCACGTAGCTGATTTTCCCAACTATGTATCGAGGAATGGACCCCTCGGTGGGGCCGAAACCAGCTGCACGCAGCAGATGTCGTAACCCCCCCTTTCCCTATCCCCCCCTTTCGTCCGGCCCGAATGACCCCCTTCTCGGTCGAGCTCTCGCCGAGGGCGAGAGCGGGAGCGGGAGCGAAGGCGAAAGCTGTGTCCGGCCTCGGAGGCCCACACGCGAGGCACGGAGCGCATGGGGCCGCCAGCCCTCACGTGAGCTTGCACTTCGTGAAAAATCCTCCTCCAGATCGTCCCGATGTCCTGGAAAATCCAGCCATGATTCCTCGCCATCGACCTCAACATCGATCTCACGATCGATCTCACGAGCGATCTCACCAGAGATCGCTTATGAGCGACCTCGCGATCGAGCTCACCATCGATCTCACTGGATCGATGTCACTCTCGGTCTCACGATCGACCTTACAATCGTCCTCGCTATCGATTCCACTATCGATCTCATGATCGATCTCACAATCGATCTCACGATCCAAAGTATTAATTTTCAAATCATCCACTGATTGGGGTTTTCTCAAGTGTAAATTGAACCTCTTGTAAGGTTCCCAATGGCCTCCGGCTTGAGTCGCCGGCCACACGGAAAATCTACAAAGGAGCCTCATCCGTTTCCAAGACGCCCCGGGTGGGCTCCAAGATGGGCTCCAAGACGGTCGAGATGGCTCATGATGGCACCCGAGGCGCCTCCAAAAAGGCCAAGATGGCTGTACTCTCGGGGGCGCGCAAACATGGAAAAGCGATCCATGGATTTGGCGCGCGGTCGCCAAATCCATGGATCGGGGGAGGTGCCCTCCCCAAAATGCTGCCGGTGCCGCCTCGTTCGGCGACAGAAATCCACGATTTCCCATGGAAACGAGGACTGGCGCTAATCCACGCCCCCTTGATCTATGTTTGCGATCGCCTGAAAGACGGTCAAGATGGCTCAAGATGGCACCCAAGACGCCTCCAAGAAGGCCAAGATGGCTGCATTCCTGCCGCAGAACCCACGCCTGCCAACGCAGGCGGGTTGACGCCGTCTCACCCTCGTCGTCGTGTCGTGCTCTCTCTTTTGGGGCCCGGCCCCCACGTGCGGGCCTGGCCGCGTCTCGAGCCTTGAGCCTTCCCCATCCCCCTCCTTCTCCCCCTGCCTCCCCCTCCCCCCTCCCCCTCCCTCCCCTCCCCTCCCTCCAACTCATTCCCCCTCCCTCCCATCCCCCTGGGGAAGGCAAACAAAAACATAACGCTACTTCCAAGACCTCTCCTGGCGCGCGTCGACCAGAACCTCGAGGCGAACCCAGCAGTGGCGACGGAAGGGGGCCTCCCAGGAGGACCCAAAACGCGAACACGAAGCAACGACAACGGCATCGGTACCTTTCGCTCCTCCGAGATTGTCTTCCTCATTGGTCTCGGGTAACAGTCGTTCCCGCGGGGGGGGGGGCCGGGTAATGGTAACGCTTCGACGCGACGGGGTGGGGCACGTCGGGGCGAGGGTGCGTACGAGCGCCAGCATGTGGGGCATCGTTGCCGTTATGCCCGGAGGGGAGAGGCGTGGCCAAGGGCAGCGACCGCTGCGCGCCCGAGGGTAGCAAAAACAATCTCCCCCTTTCCTCCCCTCTTGAGCAGGGACCGACCGTCCGGGCATTCCTACAGGCCTACCACGAAATCTTCTTAGAACCCAAAAATGTTCCAAGAGCAAGAACAATGTTCTTAGAGCATAAGCCAGATGCGCCAAAACAAAACAGTCTGAGCAAGAGATGATCTAAGACCACTTCTTGCAGACCACAGAAAGCTTCTTAGAACACTATTTGGTGGGCCTCTAGGCAAGCCAGGACGCTTCGCCACTACTTGAACATCCCTCCTGCGCAACATCTATGGAAGGGGCCCCAGGACACACAAATACATACACACATATAAACAGATTCCCCATATTTGTCCCATATTTGTGGGGTTTTCGTCTTCCCCCACACTTCCCATATTTTCCTATATATTCTGGGGTCGACGATTAATTGTGTCTGTGTGTTTCTTTCCCTCCTGAGCAGCGTCTAACCTATCCCTATCATCCCACTGGCGTGGCCTGCGCCCCACTGGCCGGTTCACCCCCCCTGGATGGACAGATAGGCTGTCCCCTTCGAGCTTCGAGGGGCAGATCTCCAAGTGCAACTGTGGTGGTGGGATGGTGGAGATCGGGATGGGGATGGGGATGATTTTGAAGGGGCCCTGAGACACACAAATAAATTCACAGAAATAAAAGGGTTCCCCATATGTTCCCATATTTTCTGGGTTGTTGTTTTCCCCCCCACTTCCCATGTTTTCCCATATTTTCCTGGGGATCGACGATTAATTATGTCTGTGTTTTCCCCCTCCTGAGATGTAGACGCTCGAAATGGGTGCGAAAAAAATGGGTAATGTACGGTACGATGCCCAACAACAAGGGTTGCCCAAAACCGACAGGGGCCGCTGTTGGGAGGGCGGCCTTCTGTCTTCAGTGAGACACGTCCGCGGCGGCGCGGACAGCGAGCCCTGTTCGAAATGGTCTGGAGCTGCTGCTGGGCATCGCACCCATTCTCCCGTACCCATGTCGATCGTCCCGCGAGGACAGGCGTCGGTTCAGCGCGACTGATCCCACCCTGACTACCTACCATACCACCCCAACCCAACTCGAAGACCCGAATTTGACCCGAATCTCGGGTTGGGGAGGGGTACGGGTCCCATATGTTTTTCCAACGATCCCCGACCCCCCACCACTGGAAATGGAGGGCAATTTGAGGCCTTCGGGTTGGGTTTGGGTGGTTTGGTGGGTGGTGAGGGGTCGGTTTAGTGCGGCTGATCCCGCCCCGCCCCGCGGGGGCCCCGCCCTGAGACCTCGTATATACACAAGCGTGCGGAAGTCCTGGCGGACCTCAGCACAAACGTGTGTGTGCAATGGACTGCAGTCTTCGACCGGCAGGCTCGGACGACAGCCAGTTCCTCGAACGGATACGCTGATCCAACTCTCGATCCTCCTCCTCCTCCTCCTTCTCCTCCTCCTCGATCCTCGATCCTCGATCCTCCTCCTCCTCTCCTCCTCCTCCTCCTCCTCCTCCTCCTCCTCCTCCTCCTCCTCCTCCCTCCTCCTCCTCCTCCTCCTCCTCCTCCTCCTCCTCCTCCTCCTCCTCCTCGATCCTCCTCGATCCTCTTCGATCCCCCCGGCCCCGCCGCGGCGCCGCCGCACACAGCCCCTGTGAGCCCGCGGCCACGCCCGCCTCCCGCTGCTCGCGCGCCGCCGGGGAGGAGACGAAGCCGGGCCCCGCGAGGAGCGCCTGGCTCCGCGGGCGGGCCGCCCCCGCGCGCGCGAGGAGAGATCCCGCGCGCGGAGCCCTCTGCCCTGCGAGGGGAGGCCCGGAGGCCTCGCAAAATAAAACAGGGCTAGGATCGGGATAAATCGCTCCAGAGCGTTCCGGAGCGCTCTCAGAGCGTTCCGGAACGCTCTGGAGCGGCCGCGGCGCCCAATACATCCTCCAAACCCGCCGATTCTCAGAGATTTCGAGTTATCCCGATCCGATTTTGTCCCGATCTTCGCGTCGTTTTACAAAGGCATCTGGAGACCCACCTCGGCGGCGAGGGAGGGGGCGGAGCGAGGAGGGGAAGGGGCCTCGCTCAGAGGGCGGCGGGGCTCTCGGAGGCCCCGCTCTGGGCCTTCCCGAGAGGTGCTCCGTGTCTCCCGGGGGAGGCTCGGAGCACTGCTCGGAGAGGGCCGGGGGACTTCCGGGCCTTCTGAGCAGACCCGCCCCCTCTCACTTCCCCCTGGGGCTCGCTGTCGACGAACCTACGTCGGATCCACATCGGGTTTACGTGTTCACGTCGGGCTCACCTCGGGTTCAGCTCGGCCTGCGTCGGATTCACGTCGGATCCACGTCGGAGCATCGCCGCACGAACGTCGTCCTAAGTCTTGCGGGGCGAACGCGAGCCCGCGAGACAACTTTCTCTCAGATTCTGGCAAGGTTATTTTTAGGTCGGGCCTGTCCCCCTACAGGGGGATTTTGGACGAAAAATCCGCCGGCCCCCTTGTGGGGCCACCAGGCTGTAGGCCCGTGATTCGCAGTTTCCTGTACCAGTCGTAGGTTGTAGTTTCCAGTGTTACAGTTCTGCTTCTTGCTGGTTACTGTAACTAATTGACTTATTGCTGGTTACTGTAACTAGTTGATTGACCGCGCGAGGGGGGGGGAGGCCCAAACCGGCTTTTTAGCACCCCCTGGGCGCGTTGTCTGAATTGCTGGGGGGGCTCGAAATCGACACCCCTCACGCAGATCCGCGGGGTCAGGGTCCAAAAACACAGGGGATTTGCCACATTTCTGAAATTCGGTGCCACCCCTCACGCAGATCCGCGGGGTCAGGGTCCAAAAACACATGGGATTTGCCACATTTCTGAAATTCGGTGCCACCCCTCACGCAGATCCGCGGGGTCAGGGTCCAAAAACACATGGGATTTGCCACATTTCTGAAATTCGGTGCCACCCCTCACGCAGATCCGCGGGGTCAGGGTCCAAAAACACTCAGGGTTTGCCACATTTCTGAAATTCGGTGCCACCCCTCACGCAGATCCGCGGGGTCAGGGTCCAAAAACACTGGGGATTTGCCACATTTCTGAAATTCGTGCCACCCCTCACGCAGATCCGCGGGGTCAGGGTCCAAAAACACAGGGGACTTGCCACATTGCTGAAATTCGGTGCCACCCCTCACGCACATCCATCGCAAGGCGTGGTAACCCAAACTGCGAGTACTCCCTCGGCCCTTTAATCCCAAGGTGTGGTAACCAAGCTCGTAAACCATACACGTCTTACCAATCGCCCTGTGTGGTAACCCCTCTTGTGATCAGTTGGTTTTGCCGATTGCGAATCGGCCTCGCATGAAGTTCCGATACTGCTGCACGACAGCGCCAAAGCCTCATGACTTAGCTCTTCCATGGCCCATTCTCCGAGAGAGGGGGCCGGCGGTAGGGGGCGAAGCCCTTACGGATAAAAAATAGTCGAAAAAATGCGGGTAAACAAAAAAAACAAATGCTCACCAAGAGTCAAAGCATCGTCCCCAGACTATGTTTTGACTATTCTTGAACACTCCTCCTGTAGAAGGACAAGCCCAACTCGAGTTGATTCGCGTGGAGGGTGGGCGTGGCGAGACCCGAAAGGAAAGCAGGGCTTCACGCAAGTTGGGACTCAATTGCACGCACGCTCGGCCCAGCAGTGGCGGCGGAGGGGGGCGGGGTGCCATGCAAGTCAGCCCGTCGTGTCGGGTCGGGCGGAAGGGGGGATAGCAAAGGGGGGGTTTTGAGAATCAGCTCACGTAGCTGATGTTCCCGGCGCCGGAGGCGGCTGTGTATCGAGGGATGGGCCCCTCGGTGAAGCCGAAACCAGCTGCATGCAGCAAATTTCGTAACCCCCCCCTCTCCCCTGACCTTTTCGTCAGGGTCCCAACCGTCCGGCCCGATCGTGGCGCTCCACACTCAAGCCAGGGGGCGCTCACGCGCGACCTTACGAGGGCAGCTCACGCGCCAGCGTCGGCGGCGCCCCGAGGCCCGACGGGGGGCCCGACAGGCGCCCGGGCACGTGCAGAAGCCTCAGAGGCACCGCCAGGCGGCAATCGGCGGCGGGCGAGGGGGCGCAGTGAGAAGGAGAGGGCCCTCTCAGAGGGCGTCGGGGCTTCTCGGAGGCCCTCCGGCCTTCTGGGAAGTCCTCCCTGTCTTCGAGGGGGGCTTAGGACGCGTCTTAGAGGGCCGGGGGACTCCTGAGCCTTCTGAGAAGGCCCGCCCCCTCTCACTTCCCCCCCGGTGCTCGCCGCCACGATCAAGCAGCTCTGGGTTGCGCACAGACGGCGCCCCCAGGTAGTCCCAGCTGGCCTCAACAGGCCGACCCGAGTGGTCCCAGCTGGCCTCGGCAGGCCCCCCCCCGGGGAGCCTGGAGCGCTCAGCACCTCCAGCCTGGGGCGCGGAGCGCTACAGTGGCGCCACCAGGGGCGGCGCCACTGTAGCGACAAAACGACATGGCGAACGGCAGATTTTCGGACGTGGGCGACATTCCTTCGCAAGTTGCCGTCTTAGAAATTTCTTCGCGAAGGCACAAGCTGTAATGTTGGTCATCCCGTAACAGCTGCAACCAAACAACCAGGGGCGGCGCCAAGGTGTTGAGACCGCAGTGGGCTGCCCAGGGGCTCTCCAGGGGGTCGCCTCGTTGTCCTGTGCCGCGTCCTGGCGGCCCGAGGCCCCGCGGAGGCCCGGGAGGTCCCTCATCCTCTTCCTCCTCCTCCCCCTCCCCCTCCCCCTCCCCCCTCCCCCTCCTTCTCCTCCTCCCCCTCCTCTCCTCCTCCTCCTCCTCCTCCTCCTCCTCCTCCTCCTCCTCCCCCTCCTCCTCCTCCTCCTCCCCCTCCTCCTCCCCCTCCTCCGGCTGCGCTCGGAGGGCCACCTGCGCAGGTCCGCCGCGCTCCCGCCCCTTTCGCGGGAGAGGTGGGAGGTGGTCAGCAGAGGAGGGGAGACGGGGGGAGCGAGAGAGTTGGCGACTACACAAGGGCTCCCAACTTCGCGCTTCGCGCTGCGCGAAGCGCGAAGTGCGAATAACTTCGCGCTCTCGCGCCACCCCCCCAAAGGGAGAAAAGGAGGACGAGGAGGAGGAGGAGAAGGAACGAGGACCGCGAAGCGCGAAGCGCGAATAACTTCGCGCCCTCGTGGGAGCCCTTGACTACAGAGGGTGCGGTTGCGCCAGGGTGTGGTTTGCGATTGGCGCCTTTGGGGCTTGGGGGGCACGACGCTGCCTTCGTCGGGCCTCCTCGGGGCGCGGCAGAGATCTCTGTCGAGGTCCTCGCCCGCCTCCCTCAGGCGCAGGCTACAGACCACACCCTTTGCAAACCACACTCGTCGGAGTGTCGGATGTTCAACCGGTTGTCTTCCAACGGGGCACACTTTTCAGTGAAAATGAATCTTTATAGGGGCCTATGAAGAAGAAACTTGGAGAGAGGGCATCTTGCAATATCGTTGATGGGTCTTGGATTTACGCTGGGCCACCTCTTCCTCCTCCTCCTCCTCCTCCTCCTCCTCCTCCTCCTCCTCCTCCTCCTCCTCCCCCTCCTCCTCCTCCTCAGAGGTGCACCGTGTACCCGCGCAGCTGCTTGGCTCCCGTGCGCGGGAGCCTGGGCTCACGGAGCTCAGGCGCCCGTCGGCCAGGATGTTTTTGTTCGAGGCGTGCCCCCCCCCCAGGCAGGCTTTTCGGGAAGAAGACGCACAGACCCCCTCGCGCTGTGAAAAAAACACGGCGCGAGGTTTCTCGCTGTTTTCGACCTCCAGGGGCCCTTCCTGGGCATCGGGACCGTGAAAAAAGGACTCAGGATGGAAAACCGGTCCCTGGGAAGGGGTCCAGACCTCTGGGGGGCGACGTCGTGAAAAAATCACGTCGGGGGTCTGGGACCCTGGCGCCCGGAGGGAGCCCTCGTCGACCTGTCGACCACCTCCTCCAGGGGCCGGCTTGTCGTCCCAGGCTTCGACGGCCCCCAGGGGTTCGATGCACTGGGTTCCGAGGACCTCGAGCACGGCGCGCGACATTGGCCGCCCCGACGTTTGTCGAAATCCGCCAGACGTCTGGGAGGACGAGGACGGAGGTGCATCTGTCCTGCGGCCTTGAGGAGCATGTGTGCCCCTACGGGCCCAAACGGACGCGGGGTACCAGACACCCCCGCTGGGATTCACCTTGGCTGCCGACGGCATCCCTCAAATCTTAAACCCCGTCCGTTTTTGTTATGTGTTTGAGTTATTATTGTGTTTCTTCTGCCAGAAGCCTGAACTGCAGGGGTAATTGGAATGGACGACTTTGTGGTCAGCGCGATGGTTGTTAGTGTTATTTGCTGGCGCAGCTACCCATCCAGGCCTAGCTAGCTACCATGGTGGTTGGTCCAGTATCGCACTCGGTCCACGCTGGACCCTCGGGCCGTTAACCACCAGCTGGGAATGCGAAGTGGTGGTCAGGAGTTTGGGCTCTAAACTGTTCTTATACATTGGCCCAACCACCAACGCCCCAGCCACCACCCCTCCAGAAATTCACAAGCATGACTCACATGTGGCCCCGCGCTCCCCCTCACGCAAGAGCGCGCCGCCACCACCGAGAGCAGAAGAACGAGCCGCCCGCAGAGGCGGCAGAGGCAGTTCGCCATCCTGGGGGACGAGCCCGGAAGCCCTCGGCCGCGACCCCGAGGGTGCCGCCGAGGCGGAGGAGGCTGGGAAGGGAGGGGGAGGAGGAAAAGGAGGAGGAGGAGGAGGAACATGAGGAGGAGGAGGAGGAAG